CTGCATTCTTTTTTGTTTTGAGCAAAAAATATTTTTTTCAAAAATAAAATGGTAAATCTTGGCCCATATTTGAATTATTTTATTTGCTTTCTAAATTGTTTTCATTTATTCATTATGGTGAATGAATGAAAGTTAGTATTATAAAGCATATAATTTAGAAAGTGAAATTTTTTAAAGCACATTTTGAATTTTATATTTAAAAAATTCAACTATTTAAAATTTCTACTATCAACTCTTTAGTCAGAAAATAAGAACAAAAAGAATGAATGTAAACCTTTTTGAAATGAAACCTAGTTATTTGCTAATTGTGCCATGAGATGACTTCTTGGCTGTTTGTCAATTCAAGCCTTTCACACAGTGATGAAAACTGCTGATGACATCATCATAGCATTGTGGACAAATCAATAGAACATGTTAGAGTTTCAGCCTGTTATCAGACAAATCAGTTGTTCTCTACAGAGTTAGAGCCTAACTAATGAATTATGTCAAAGTACCTCAAATCAGTTAGTGATACTTTTTACCTTCTACCCTTTAACTTTTCTATTCAAGATATGGAGGTGGTTCAAATAATTGTATTTGAACCTTTTATTTTGAGAAATATCTGTTAATAGATTGCTAAATGTTTGATTTATATCTAATTCTAAGAATCACCATGCTTATTTTTGTAGGAACTTAAAATGTCCAGGTCCTTAATAAATTGGACTGAAAAAATGTGTCTCAGGAAGTAAGAACTTTCCTAGAAAAAGGTAAGATATTTTTAAAATATATGTTTTTGTATAGTAAAAAATTCTGGTGAAAATTCATGTACACTGATACATGTCCTCTCATGTAATTTAGAGATAATTTTTTGAAGTTAGAGCACTTTTCTTCTATCACTAGATAGGCTTCTGTTCTGTGGAATGATTTGGATACGTGTGATGGTTCCAAAGTTTAGGTAAACACTTCATAGGAAGGCCAAATATCAGCTTTAGAATAAACATTAGAAAGTGGATTGTGACTCTTTTTTTAAATCCACATACTTAGGAATTTTCCTAGTTTGGCCATTTTTGCCAGGAGCCATACAGTAGAGAGGGTGGTAACAAGAGTAGAAAGGCATCCAGAGAGTCTTTCGGCTAGATGTCCCATCCCTTATTTCCTGGACCGCATATGGTTACTATCAGTGAGAAGCCATTCAAAGGATTCAGGACAAAGCACTAGGGAGCCAGTCATTTTCAGTGTGCCACACTATCTTAATTTTGACCGAAGATGTATAAATGAGTTGTCACCATTAAATCAAAACACAGGAAGTCTGAATAGGTACATGCTAGCCATTTTAGTCAATTTCAAATTATTTTTCAAGACTCATTCCTTGTATAAAGTAGCATGACAGTGTGGCAATATAAAGCTTGCATTTCTGCTATGTTACACATTTGCAGTTAGAAGGAATGGATGGAACGAACAAAGGAATTTAAAATGTACTTGGATATCTGTGAATAATGGTTAATGGAACTGATAAGAAGAAAACTAGGCGCTGGTCTTAAACATGCTTATTTTTTTAACCTTAAAGGATCACTGAGTAGAAAATATTCGTTCATAAGTTATATTTTTTTTTTTAGAACATGCATTCCAATTTTAGGGTTCCTTTGGATTTAATTAGTTAATTAGTCCTAATTAAATTGAACAAATGCCAATCTCCCTCAAAGTTTCATCTTAGTGTGTTGAAGAAAGATGGCTTTATGAAACCTGTATTAAAATTCAAGTGTACAAGAATCTTTTACCTAAGAAAACACCATATAAGGCACATATCCACTGATTCAAGATATATTTTAAAATCATTTAACTTGATATTTCATCGATATGTATTTTATTCCTCTTACTAAGGATATAATATTTAGTATTAGTAGATTAGTAAAGTCTTTAAAATTACAGTACTAGGGTCTGGAGAGATGGCTTAGCAGTTAAGAACACTGGTTGTTCTTACAGGAGACCCAGGTTCGAATCCCAGCAGCCACATGGCAGCTAACAACTATCCGTAACTCCAGTCCCAGGGGATCCAACAGCCTCTTCTGACCTCTGTGGGCATTGCACAATGCAGGTGCACTTACCTACATGCAGGTAATACACTCATACACATAAAAAAATTTTTCTTAATTAAAATAATAAACCTATTTTTTTTAAAATTTAAAAACTAAGATGTAGTAAGAAAATTTAAAATTAATTAATTAATTAATTAAATTACAGTACCAGTTCCCTGACATGTACAACTCAATATATACATATACATATATATAGTTATATTATATATAATATATGTGAAAGCACTGGTCTTAAATATACTTATGTTTTTACCTTAAGGATCACTGAGTAGAAAAAATATGTTAATACATTTTATTCTATTATATTTTTACAACACACATTCCAAATTTATTGGATCCTTTGGATTTAATTAGTTGATTTTTCCTAATTAAAGTGAACAAATGCTAATTCCCCTCAAAGTTTTATATTAGTTACATATATACATATATATGACTCACTGATTCCATTCACTGTTGTTCATATATATGTACATGTGATCGGGGTGACCAATTGGGATTGGATAGCCTGTCAGGAGGTTCGTCCCTCTGTCAGCAGGGTGGGGTTCTATGAAATTTGCCATATCCTCATTGACGTGTTGACTGGTGTTATTATTATGCAGGTAATTTTTAGGCAATGGTATTGTTGATATTTCATAGTGTCAGCATTCATGTCACATCTAGAAGACACTATCTCACAGAATGTATCCTGGTTCTCTGGCTCCTAAAATTGTTCCACATGTCATCTGAACCTTACATATAGTAATTTTGTTGTGCACATACTAATTGGGGTTGGGAACATAATGGTCACTTATTTTCTACATTTGACCAATTAAGGATCTCTGTAATATCCTCTCTCTGCTATGAAAAGAAGCTTATTTGATTGAGGGCAAGAGCTACACTTATCAGGGATTATAACAATAAGTATCCTGAATATGGCTAGGAATTATATTTGTTTAAAAATATGGATGTAGTAGTTATTGTTTATGGTCTACAACCTCTCTAGCCACTGGTAGTTGACTATGTTTACAATAGCCAGTATGAATTCCCTACTAATGAGCAGGCCTTAAATCCAATTACACAGCTGTAGGTTAACCCCCCAAATAACAATGCACTATTGCATCACTAAGGATGTGATACTGGACCAACCACTATTGTAGTTCATAGGCATTCATCTGGGTAGACAGACTGTGGATAGCTTTTCTCCCTTGGCAAATTGTGCAACATCTTCAGATACTGTGAGAGATGGTCCTCAGAAAAGAGGAGTTCAGGTCAGTTCAACCAAATTCCTTCAAATCCTGTGTCCAAAGTGTGTGGTGTCTTCACCAATAGGGTTGTAACTTCAAGTTCTGGGCTGCAACCCATGGCAATGGCAGGATTTTCTGGGGAGTCTTTGGACTCCCTTGAACAACTACTTGAAAGGAGGTTTCCCATGCCTGGCACTGGGAATTTTATAAGAGAATCTTTGGCTCTTGTGGGAAGAATTATCCTGTGTGGTATAACTCCATTTAAAACATATATATCAGTATAGGCACTTATATATGTATGTATCTGTATACACATATATGTATTATATATCTATTTTAAGTAAACTTATAAAATGATATTTTTCACTAGCTTCTTTCACTTTGTATTATTACCCTTCCTGGTTAAATTCCTCCCCCATCATTTTCCCCCTTCCCTCCTTCATAACACCTATGCTGTACTATCTCCCTCTCTGGAGCTCTTTCTCTTCTCTCCCATGATCCTTTTCTACTTTCCTGGATTCTGTGGTTATTTCAGGTTATGTAATCAAATATAAATTTTGGTGTTAGGTTCCACTTGACTTTTTTTAATTTATAGATATGATTTTATATATTTATTAGGTATAATATGTTTCAGATATGTATGACTTATAGTTCATACATATGTATATATCAAGTATGTATAGTTGAAAATTTAAATATAATCAACTAGCATGTATATTACCCCAATGCTATTTTAATGGTGAAAACACTTGATATATACTGTTTTAGAAGTCTTCAGAAAAAATATATATTGTCAATAGCTATACTTACCAGGTTGCTGAATAGATTCTTAAGCATTTTCTCTTATACAGAACAGAGTATTATCCAGCCATGAAAAGTTTGTGTCTCTTATTTATAATAGCATTGACAAAGCTAGAGGAACTTATGTTAAGCCAAGTATGACAGACACAGAGAGACATATTGCATGATTTAATTCTTACATAGGAAATAAAAACTCGTGTCTCAAAAAAGATGGTACAATAATAATTAACAGAAATTGAGAAATTGGGAGATAGGAGTTAAAAATTTGTAGTATGAAATTTCGAATGGAAATAAACTGAAAGGGATTATTGTTACATCCAATGAATTATTTTTAAATTATATAAATAAATATTTAAGGGAAAATGCCAAATTTATTTTCCTGGCTTAAAGAGTTTTATTATCGGGGCTGGAGAGATGGCTCAGAGATTAAAAACACTGGTTGTTCTTGCAAAAGATCCATTTTCGAATCCCATCACCCACCTGGCAGCTAACTACTCTCTGGAACTCCAGTCCCAGAGTATCTGACACCCTCTTCTGACCTCAGCGGACATTGTACAACACAGGTGCACTTACCTACATGCAGGCAATACACGCAGACACATAAACTGAAAAAAAAAAGCTGTTTAAGAAAGTCAACATGACCAGACGCATGATGCCTTTTTTCTCACTCCTGAATCTGAAAATAGTTCTACCTATACTGACTGCTAAATATGTGTCCATATATGCTTGATGTTAAAAAATTCTATGGTATGTATATAGAAATGTCTTAAATAGAAAACTATTGAGCATTTATTTGAAAAAGGTAGAGTAATAACTAGAGGACTCTGTAGGTAAGAGAAGGCAGCAATGAGCTGTGAAGAAAGAAAATAAAATTACACATGAGTTAATCCGGAAAACGAAAAGTGTGTGAATGAAAAGGAAGAAGGCGCGTTTCACAATGCTAACAAGACCAACAGTAGTTTATAACATGCCACTGATTTCAATGTTAAATGCCGTCGCTGTCTCATGGCCATTAAGTAAGTAACTCTGATCTCATTTTGTTGGGAGGTCATCCTGAATACCAGAAAGAAATTACACCCCAGACTCAGACTGCTAAGAGATCCAAGCTGAGTTACTGTGCCCTTTGAGAGAAGGCTTTTATTCTCATTTATACATTGGGTCTGTCAATAGTAATGTTTTTACACTTATTTTAACTTAGATTGAAGTATTATTGGATTTTTAACAGTAGATTTTGAAGGTACAGTGCTTAACTTTCTCAGATTAGCTTTGAAACTGGTTAATATTTATTGTGTATTTCAAAATCCTCTTTGTTTCATAAATCAGTGCTATCTTAATGTTTTAAATTGTAAACTTTTGAAGAAAAAGTTAAGATTTTCTTCTTTATACCTGCCATGCTTGCCAATTTTGAAGAACAAATGCTACTGATTAAATGAGTGTGTGAAAGAATAATTACACAGAAATGTTTCCAATGAATTGAATTAAAACAAAAAATCACATACTGTATTTAAGTTTTCCTAAAGGTTATAGAGTATAAGAAATTAAAAGTATATTTTTCCCAGTAAAACCATTCTTTGTGTTTTCACCTATTAATTTAAATTTTATTGTAGTTACTTAATATTGCTTTTTAAAAATATTTTTAAATTTGGC